GAGCAGAGAGAGGGAGGACAGCCTGTCTCCCCTTTCAGTCTTCATCCACTCCCCCTGTCCCAAATAACTGGAAAGGGTAGATATAACTGCAGTAGACATTTCAAGACTGTTACCTCATTTGACAGCTGGGCACTGTTGAGTATTTTCCTCTCTTCTTTCAGACAGTGCTGGATGATCATTGCCATATGTATTGGGTCTTCTTGAAAGTTATCCTAGCATTAGAGACAGTCTGTTGTTTAAGTTCACACACATAATTTCTTGTCATTCAGTAACCTTCAGACTGGCAAAAAGATTAGTGAGTGACTGTGTTCATAGCCTGCTCCAAGACTACAGGGTATGGCAGCTGCAACCAGCTCCAAGAGTGAGTTTTCATTTTAGTTTATTAGCATTAGCATACAATGAGATGGTACTGGGATAAAACAACAGGAAAGGGTCAGAGACATTTTTGGGAGAAGTGAGATACTATCCTACAGTCCTAAAGAGAGCTCATCTCTTGAGAGCCGCCCTCTGACATATGGCTGCTGGTTTTGAAGGGCAGTGTTCTAGCCTGGCAGGTACAGTTCTTGCTCAGTGATGTAAAGAAGGTATATTAGCTGCCACTTGTGAACATGTGGTCAAGGCTGGGTGGAAATTCAACCTTAGTGTTTTACATGCATACAAAGCTGGAACATGGTGTGGATTGATATCGCCCTGCTCTGCTCAGGATGGTGCTGCCCTGGGGGTCGCTGAGCTGTGCCAGCCTTCTTGACTGATCTTTCATTGCTGATCTCTCATTACTACGGTATAAATACAGGTAATCTTCTCCTCTCCTCAGAAAACAGTCCCCTGGTCACCTACCTGTGGTGAGCAGAAGCTCAGTGAGTGGAAATTAGGCTGTGGTGAAGGAAGACCTCTGGCACAGAGCCCTACAGGGAGGAGTGGATGACTGACTAATAAGTCCACTAGGGATATGTCCTGCACTGGCACTCACTACCAACTGCTTTGGCCCTTTTCTTTCCCAGTACAGTGCAATGCAGAGTGCTGCCTAAGGACAAGTCCTTTGCTCTTAACTGCAGTTCTGCAGTTACATGGGAAGGATTTCTTTCCCTGTGTTTTTTCTGCATCAAAAAAGTGTCTTATTAGGACACTGAGGAAACTGGATGGGGAGGGCATGGGTTAAGTGAAACTGCAGTTGAGTAAGTGCCCCAAATACATACAGTAAACACCTTACAAACTGCAACTGCCCTTTTCCTAGAGCTCTCCGAAACTGTAACTGTACCTGTAAGTAAACTGTAACTTTCTAACTGTAGCCAATTAAAACAAAAACGGAGTGACATTTGAATTCTGGATTTTAAAGCAGAATTCTCACACATTCTCTGTGAATATCCCTCATGGCAGGGTAGTTTGCTTAGAGGCATCCAATTGCGCTACTGAAGCAATTCAAGCAAATGTATAGGTATGGAACCCCAGCATACCTGCAGATTGCGTTTGCTTTTCCTTATGTTGTGTTGCAGCAAAAAGTTGTTTTCTATCAAGAATCTACTGAATTGGTCATCAAGCTGTGACAACAGGTCATGGAACAACACCGTAGCGAAAGATACGTTGTTGGCTGCATGTTCCCTAGAATAATTTAAGGCATGCTTGTGTTAAATACCTTTCTAATACAGCATCCAAGAAATGCATTATAGGTGTAATTTATCTTTAATCCCCCACTGCAGTTGTAGAATATGCAAGCAGTAAGAATTACTTTCCAACGTAAGCCAATTTCATTCTCTTAACTTTGACTTTACTTTCCTTGATACAGAAATGTTGGTTTTCTCTGTATTATTCTTGCCACATTGTGTGCAAATTCATTTGCTCACTTCATGCACATCAAGAATCTAAAAGTGAACCTGATGCATGTGCATGGTGTACACTTCACAGAAATCTTGTCAGAAGTTCACAGTCTTTGAACAGCGAGAGACTGGGCTACCAAGACAGCAACTGATCGGTCTTAAAACAGCTGCTTTTGTTATAGACCAAATGAGAGCAATATGAGCTCTAGGACAGTTTTATTCCAGCTGTCAGGCCCCTCTAGAAAGCCTGGAAGAGGGGCAGGAACACAGGCTGCAGCACCCACACAGCAAAGCATCCTACCAGCAAAGGTTCACCTAAGCAGCTTGCTTCACCAGTATTCTGCTGCTGCCTGTAACTCTATGTATGAGAACATTGCTTATCACACAACCCAAAGGCTAATTTCTAAGCTTACCAATCCTGGTTCTCCAGCCACTGTGCCAGGTACTGCCTGATCTCCATGGGGAAGCTGTCATCGTATAGCTGGTGAACTTGCTCCAAAAACTTGGAATCAAGTTGCTGTAGCTGATGCCACTGAGTCATCCTGAGGAAGGGGTGGAAAAAAAAATCAGTGTAAATTTTTAAGTAGTATTTGGACAAAGCTGGTGAAAAATAACATAAGTTTTCATGAACATTGATAAAATTGGAGGATGTGCTACTTTTGGCTAAGATAAGGCTAATTTTCTTCACAGTAGCCAGTGTGGTGCTGTGTTTTGGATTTGTGCTGGAAAGAGTGTTGGTAAAACAGGGATGTTTTTATTATTGCTGAGCAGTGCTTACACACAGACAAGCCCTTTTCTGCTCTTCACCCTATTCCACCAGCTAGGAGGCTGGGGGTGCACAAGAATTGGGACAGCTGGACAGCTGACTCCAACTGACCACAGGGATATTTCACACCATACGGCATCATGCTCCGTATATAAATTGGGGGAAGAAGGAAGGAAGGGAGGTACACTCTGCATGATAGTGTTTATCTTCCCAAGTCACCATCAGGTGTGATGGAACCCAGCTTTTCTGGAATGGCTGAACACCCGCCTTCCCATGGGAATCAGTCAATTAACTCTTTGGTTTGTTTCGCTTCTGTACACAACTTCTGCTTTACCTGCTAAACTGTCTTTATCTCAACCCACAAGTCTTCTCCCTTTTACCCTTCTGATTCGCTCCCCATCCCACCTCATAGGGAGGAGGGGGAAGTGAGTGAGCAGCTGTGAGGTAGCTTCACACAGTTGCTGGCTGGGGTTAAACCAGACAGAAGAGTAAGAAGGAAAAGTGTTTTCATTGAACAAAAGTATTTTATTTTCAGCTGTAACAGTTCTAGATGCTAGTCCTTTAAACACAATAAAACTTCTTTTGGGCTTGTTTAAATTTAAAAAAAAAATGGAATTTACAAATTAGGACGGTGCACTGTTTGCTGAAAAATTACTCCAAGCTGGAATAACCTTTTCCCATGAAAATGTGCCTTTTTTTTTTTTTCCTCTGAACCCCTTTTCATGGCATTTAGGGCATGGTTCGTGTTACTGCTCTCTTGCTTAGCAAGGATATGAGAATGAGGACCTATGTGTTTGATCTGTACTCTGCATGATTGAGATTCTGCATGTGGAGTTTCACCTTCTGTTGATACTCCGCATCACCAAGAGCATGAGCGAAAAATCAAAGCACCCTCTAGGCACTCATTTTCACTTGGTACTTGTGTCCCCACTTACCTGCTGTGAAAATGGACTAGATCTCAAGTCACTTCAAATGGAGAAGTACTGGAAAGATGTTTTTTTCTGCTATATGCTTTAGTTCTCATGACCACATTTTCAGGCTAAATTCAAGTAATCTGTGCAGCAGATACAAGGTACTTAAATGAATTAATATTGTACAGTATGGCTTCTCTCAGTCATAACACTTTTATGAGAGTGGCTTTATATTGAGACATGGTTTCTAGCAGCAGATCAGTTAGTCTTCTCATTAGGCTGCAGGTTATCATGTTGTAGTGGAAATGGCACATAAAGATATGTCCAAGGAACAGTACAGGCTGAGAACATGTGTGGTGACATGCAAATCAACTCACATACAGAACCTTTAAAAAAAAGGTGATAGGACCTATCCAAAGAACAGGGCAGCATCAGGGTGAAGGACTATGTTGTATGTGCCTTCCTGCTAAATCTGTTAGTGTCTGTATGCTGGTTCCCCCAGCTGCTGAGTGGCATATGCTATGTGTGAGGAGCAAATGAGAGTTAAAAATGCTATTGTGTTTTAAGTGAGGCCTTGAGGCTTTTGATGTGCATGCTATTCAGATTTCAGGTAACACAGCATTTGAGTGTGCTGTAGCTGCACCACGGCAAACAGTTAAACGTGACATTGCTGAGGAAAGAATTTGTCTAAATTCATGAAGTTAATCTGCTGCTTTCCCTAATGGTTAAGTGAAGATGTACTCCAATCTTCCTGTGTCTTAAAGCAACCAGTCTAGGAAAGGACTGGGGAGTGGTGGCAGAGAACCATTCAATGAGGTGGTTACAGAGCAATGTAATAATGCAGCAAACATGACCCTTGGGGATGCAAGCAGGGAAACATCAAAGAAGGGGTAAGTCAATACCTTTTTGTAGAGAAGGCATCAGAGACACCCACAGTGGGGCACAGGGCACAGCCTGCCACTGACAAACTGACAAGTGAGGAGGTATAGGACGGGTAGCCCCTATTCTGCCCTTACTCAAGGGAAGTGCAGTATGATCACAGCCCATAGGTGTGTCTGGAGAAAAGGAGCTCTGCTGGAGGCCCCTAAATGGGTGATGTATTTGCAGCTCTGTGAGTCTGTGTGCCTCGTAACAGCTGTGCTTGAGGGTGTCTTCCACAGCTCAGCTTGGACTCAGAGAATCACAGAATTATTAGGGTTGGAAGGGACCTCTGGAGATCATCCAGTCCAACCCCCCTATCAAGGCAAGGTAACCTGGAGTAGGTGACACAGGAAGGTGTCCAGGTGGGTTTTGAATGTCTCCAGAGAGGGGGATTCCAGACCCTCCCTGGGCAGCTGTTCCGTTGCTCTGCCACCCTCAATGTAAAGACGTTCTTCCTCATGTTGAGATGAAACTTCTGTTTTAGATTATGGCCATTGCTTCTCGTCCTGTCACTGGGCAACAGTGATAAAGAGTCTGGCACCAACTTTGAGATATCTGTATGCATTAATGAGGTCCCCTCTCAGTCTTCCCTTCTCTAGATTGAACAGGCTCAGCTCCCATAGTCTCTCCTCGTAAGACCCTTCATCATCTTTGTGGCTTCTGCTGGACCGTCTCCAGTAACTACTTGCCTTTCTAGTACCGAGGAGCCCAGAACTGGATACAGCACTCCAGATGTGCCTCTTTAGGGCTGAGTAAAGGGGTAGTATCACCACCCTCGACCTGCCGGCCACACTCTTCCCAATGCACCTCAGGGCTCCCTCCTGGCCACTCTCTACCTACTTTCCTGTCATTCCCGGGGGATCGCGGCCGGAGGGCGCAGCGCAGTTCGGGAGCAAAGGGCGGCGGGCAGCCCGTGCTGCCGCCGGGAGCTCGCACGGCTCCCGCGGGGGAGGACAGCGCTCCCTCCCCATGTTCCCCCCGCTCCCCGCCCCGGCTCAGTCCCGCAGGTTGGGAGCACCACGCGGGTACCGCACCTGTTGGGCAGAGGCTGCCCGGCGACGTGGCCACAGCAGGAACAGCAGGAACAGGGAGAGAGCACCGACCCGGGCACAGGGACCGCTCCTGGGGGCTCCCGAGCAGGCAGTGTTGGGAGTCTGGAGACGCGCAGCAGCAGGTGCAGCTGTCCAGAAGGAGCCAAAAGGCGTTCAGGGAGCAGGAGTTGGGAGCAGATGCAACCGGTGACGGAAGAGCAGCGCTGCCGCCCGGGAGGCGGGTGATGCCCTGATGGGTATCCCTGCCAGGAATGAACACCGCTGGGAGACGGCTCCCGCTGCCACAGGAGGAAAAGACACCGAAGCGCAAAGTCGAGCCAAAGGCAGGGGCAGTCTAAGGGAGCGGCAGCTCCAGCTGCACCGGGCATTCACCGCGCCGCGCCGTCCCCCGAGGCGCCGGTACCGCCCGTCCGAAGGCAGCTCCCCTCACCTCTCGGTCCGGCTCCCGGAGCCCTTCCCAGCTCCCGGCCCGCAGTGCCCGCCGTGCCGGCTCCGGCCGCCTCGGGACGCCCGCACGGCCCGCAGTGCGCAGGCGCGGCGGCGGGAGGAGGAGGGCCCCCTGAGGGAACAGCCGCTCCACGTGATTTCTGGGAAAGCCGCTGGAGCGGCCCCGGCTGAGGGGAAGGGGAAAGCGAAACCGAAACGGGCCGTGCTGGGGGAAGGAAGGGCAGCCAGGGCCGGGGACGCGCACACGCACAGCCGCGGGTGTCGGTCCATGCACTGCGACCCGCATTGCCCTCCAGGACACTGGGAATGCCGCTTCGGGCGGCTCAGCGTTGTCGCCCTTCCCATTCCTTCATCCCGCTTTTCTTTCCAGTCCTAGTCGCTAGGAATAGAACAGCGAACAGGAATAGTGAACATGAATAGCGGCGCTGCTGCTGCTTTGGGCGCACACGGTCTGGGTGGGTTTTGTCTCCTTTGTGAAGTGTCAGCAAAGACCGGGATAATCAAGTCCAGGCTTTGGTGCGGGTCTCCAGGGTACTCGGATCTGTTTCGGTGTCCTTTGTGTCCCCGCCCCTTCCTCAGATGGAGGGGGCAGTTGTTACTCCGTGAAAGAAACAAGGAAATAGAAGGTCTGTTTGGTAAACTTTGGGGCATGAAATGCCATAGAGCAGTGGATATATAAACACGGCTGTAAATAAAAGCTGTAGCAGAAGGTAACTGACAGTTTTCACTTTTTTTTTTTTTTTAAATTAGTATCGTCAAAGTGGTGCACCAAGACACAAAGCACACAACAGCCGTGTTATTTTTTAATTTGCCGCTGCAAAACACAGCGGAAGTGTAAGCACAGTTAGTAAAAGTACTTAAAAGTGGATGTTTTGTTTCTTCTGGCAGTGTCTGAGACACCCCTTTGTGTGTTTGCTCCCTTCCCCATCATTTTACTAGAGAACCCTAGTGGCATAAGGATAAAATACTCACTTTTTTTAGCAGAAGGAGACTTGGGCTATATATATTTATCTTACAGTAAACTATTCCAGTGTTCTTTTAAAGCAGTAAAATGATTTAAGTCACATGCCTTTCAATGACATGTTAAACCTACCCCCTGCAAAATCTCTTTTAAAGCAATAGTAGAAACTGTAATGCGAAAACCTGATCCACGGTGCTGTTCAGTAACACCAATTATATCATGCTGAAGTTAATAGCTGAGAGTCTTGAAGGGTTGCATTGCTCGGGGAGCAGGGAGGAAGGGGAGAGGAGATGAGACTGCTTCACGTGTTATGTCTGGTCCCTTTTTACAGTACTTCTCATGAGGTCAAAAATATAGGGCATCCCCCATTTAGTTTATATTAAGATTGTGAGAAGAGCTTAGAATGAAAAGCCATGCAGTAGCTGATGAGAGGTGAAGTTATGTTTGCTGCTCTAGAAGCCTGTGTTACTGCTTGTAGTTCGGACTTGAGATCAACAAAAAGGCAGCAAGACTGTTTCTGTGGGCCTTGAAAAAAATTCCACAGAGGTCCAGGTATGCAACTTGAAGCCAAAATCTGTTTTTATTCATGCTGGTTATATAAGTTACAGATGTTACCAAACTATGTACAGAATTGCTCTTGTTGTTTTGTAAAATTATTTATACATGATGCTTTCTGAGAGAAAATGACTCTACGTGCAGCTCACTTTAAATCACTCAGGTCAATGAACAGAGATGTGTTTGGTTTTTTTGAAATCTATTCCCCTGTATCACAGAAATAGCTCATTACTCTGTTTCCGTTCACTTGTTTTCAACTAACATAAATGGTACGGGTGAAAGGAGTGAGTAAAAAAGGAGAAATGAAAGTAAAATGCATGTCTTACTGACTCAAGGAGGTTATGTTTTCATCTCAGATGTCTAATTTGTACCTGCTCAAGAAAACAGTAAGGTGCAAACATTTGAGGGTTTGTATTGTGAGAACTTTGCATGCATTAACCATGTATTCTGTGGATAAGACTTAAAGCTTGATTGAGCCAGTATATGTGTCCTTGGAATCGCTTCTTTATTGTTCTATTAACACAGGTTTTAGGGAGAATACTGAGAGCAAAAAAAGCTGACAAGACCAAGCTAGCTATTCTGTTTATTAAATGAGCCTCTGACAGACATGTAGTAATCTGCCATGCAGCACAATTTTCCCAGTTGTTGGCAAATGCTGCAGCTCCTCAGTTTTTAAAACTGTGCTTCCCAGTTGGCATTTATCAGTTAGTATCCAGACTGCAAGTGGTCAGGATTTTTTTATTTCTATTTTTTTATTTCTGATAGTACATGCTGTAGCATCTGAGTGCTCCTTGCCCAAACAGATTTACTCCTGCAACTATTTTGTGAGGGAGAAAGTTTTACTAACTCTGTCTTCCAGTGGCAAATCGGAGACAGCCTTTTTGACACCACAAATTTTGTTTCTGCTTCCTTTCCAGAACTCCCTTCTCTTCCCAGCCACGCTTACCTGTCTTTCACAACTTTTGCTGTGGTGTCAGATAAAAACCTATGCTGAAGGTACTTCTTCTTTGGAGAAAAATGTCCCAGGCACCTCTGGGACATTTAAACTCAGGGGAATGAGAATCTTTGCTTTGAAATAGAATCTAAACCAGTGTTGTGCAAGATTACAATTAAACAATAAGTATTTAACATAATAAATCCTAATTTTTTCAAACACATTAATGTCTTTAGTTATCTTTCTGTGCTGTTTTCAGAAGCAAAACGTTTTGTTCTTATATTCTCATATTTACAGCAATTCTACGAATGTTAGTTAATTCTGCAAGTAAAATTTATCTCTGCTGGGACCTCACTGCAGTCAAATGACTTCCAAATGAGAAAGGATTTGGCCTTTTTATCACTGAGAACAGCAAATCTGACTTGCAGAAAGCTATTTGAATCCCTAGGGAGAAAATTCCTTGTTTACATGTTGATTGATAACAGAAAGAGACCTAAGAATAACATAATGGTTTCCAGGAAAAGCTGATTTACAAAGATGATTGTAAAAAAATTAAGGCATCTTTAACCCATCCAGTGTTCACATGATTACTAATTTCTCCAGTATGTGAACTTCAGTCAGTTGAATAAGGAGAACTCAGCTAGAAGAAAAGAAGGAAAAGATTAATCTCATGGCATTTGCAGCTGTTCATTCAAAAGTAAAAGTAACTGCAGATAAAACTGTCTCTGGCTCAAGGTAACTACAGTGTCACTTTGACAATGTAATACAAACTGATAAGAATCTGAGGATCCTGTTTCTAGTTCTTCGCAGATTATAGGAACACTCATTAGAAAGCACTCCATGGGAAACAGTGGCAATAAACCTATTTATTTTTATATGAACTCCTGTGGTTCTTGTAGCCTATGGATATGTGTAGCAGGGCTCTTCCTGGAGTCTTTTTTTCCTGATGGGTCAGGGAATCTGGAGAGGGGGAAGTAGAAGGGAATGCAGCAAGACTGCAGAAAGTATATCTTACTGAGCTACTGAGTTGTAGGATATTTGGTCCTGCTGCAGATTTCACTCTTGTTTTCTGTATCTCACACAGTGTTTTTTATTGGCATTGGAGGAAAAGTATTGCTTTAATAATGCAGATTGCATGCTTACTGTACTTAGCCAGCTCTTTACCAGGGTAGATTGTTGTGTGAATTTTGGGTGATAAAGAAAAAACCTCCATATTTTCCTTGTTTCTGTGTAGCAAGGCAAATAGAATGGAAAAAGGAAGGAATTCTTAAAAAATCTTCTAAAACTATTTTTCTCATTTGATTTCTGGCAGAATTTGAAAACATTTGTAGTAAGATCCTACAGAAATATCACCTGCTATCTAGCAGTACTGAACCACTTGTCTTAGTACTTCTAAAAAACACAACATGACTGTATTTAACTCTTCCAGTTTGCCACCAAACACGTTCTTTTTGTTTGGTGAAGACTAAAAGACGGCAATGGTCACTGTTTTGAGGTTTACTGTGCGTGCTAGAAGAAACCAAATGTTTGGAGGCTGATGTTAAACGAAAGTGAAGCCAAATATTTTACACTGCCAAAACTCTGGGAAACACAAAGTCGTACATAGTTCATGAGTGCAGTTTTAGAAGGTCAGAACTGTTTTCATTTGTATAAGCCAACATAGAAATGAGTGAGGACAGGTCTTGGTTCAGGTGTAGTAGGTTAGAACCTAGAATTTTAGTTCAGGCTGGTTGTTTCATTTTCAGCTGAAAAACTAGTTTGTCACAAGTGCTATCAGAGAAAAAAGTGAAGAAGAAAAAGAAGATATTTTGCTCTTGAACAGATCATCAACTTGATGTATATTAAAGAACTCATCTATTTGTATATAAAGCTTAACTGTGCTTCCAGTCATCAACAGTCATGATTCTGGTTTAGTTTCATTCTGTTTGTGGGTGAGGAGTGTTTTACAGAGGTACATTTGACAGGGAGTTAGCAGGCTTTTAAATACATAACTATTTGAAGATCATAAATCATTGAGCATTCAGAAAACTAAGAGCTAATATTAAAAAAGGAAATTTTCTTTTAAAGCTGCTGAAGCCCAAACCACTGCTGTGTTTCCTGAGAGAAGTGTGCTGGGCAAATCCCCAGCTGGGTACACATCAGTGCTCTAAGGACTCTAAGCCATGATGATTCAGAACAAAATTTCTAGTCAGTAAGTGAAGGAGGAAATTTTTTTAATATGATGTTCATAGAGTATTTTCCCAATCTTTCTCTATACTTAGTTAATATTGGTTTTATTTGCTTTTAATTTTGCACCTTGGTACCCCATTTAAAAACACGTGGCTTGAAAAACTTACGCAAGTTTTCTGAACTGAAAATTTTTATGCTCCTTGTGCAGCTCCTCTGAGCAAGCCCAGGCCTTTTTTGCTATTTACAGAATTAATACAACTGTCATGTATTTGTTAGTGCAAAGTCTTTGTTCGTGCAAGAACTCTGGGATCTTTGTGTTATGACATTCAGGGTTCATTGGCCAGCGTGTCAGGCAGTTCCATGCAACACAGGGCTTCCAAGATATCTGCAGTATCCCCTACCATTTACAATAGGAAACGTCTGCACCATTGTTTCAGAGTAACACAGCAAGTGATGAAAGAGCTGTGATTCTTTTGTCATTGTACAAGCAGCCTTTTTATAACCAGCATCTCCGCTCTACGTATCCTGTTTGCTTAGCATTAACTTAGGAATGGAAAAGTTTGCAGCTTACGGCAGTTTCAATGGCTGTGGGGCTCAGGTGTTCTCTCAGCACAGCATAAACGCTTGGGGACATTGGGAGAAGATCTGATGGAGAATGTGGTTCTGTAGAATCGTTTAGGCTAAGAAAAAAAAAAAGACAAACAAGCAAAAACAAAATATAAAAAAATAATTTTAGATGAATAATCCCTTTACCTTCATGCATATCAGTGGAGTATGGTGAATGTTTTTTTCACTTAGTTAGGCCCGTACTTGGGCTTGCTGGTGGCTCTGTAAGCATATGCCAACAACCTGCTATACACTTAAAAATGTAGGAGATAGAGTCAGGTTTATCCTTTTCCCCCTTGTCCCTAATATCAGCTGCTGGAGAGAAAAAGGAGATAGTGAAAGATAAGTAGATCGGAGTACCATAAAATCTGTATTCAATTTTTAGAGATGTTTTGTTGCATAAATGGGAAAAGCACTGTACAGATGAAGTTCTTTACTTCCCTTTCTTGTGTTTAGCAGTCCTTGGCCAAATAAAAACACACTATGTATTTCTATGCCAAACTATTCTCAAATAGTTTGGGGAAGGGAGGCAGGGAAAACTCTGAAATAGGATGTAAACTAAAAAACAGCAGTTGAAGTATAATACATCTGTAAGGATACTTACATTTTGGAGACTGGGATAAATACAGAAGGAACATAACCTTTGACTCCTCCATCTGAGGGCTTTGAGACTAAAATAAATATTAGAGAAGTTAAATATTATCTTGTAATTTTATTATTTATTTGAAATTGACTATTTGCCTTAAGGGCTGTAGACCATAGTAAATTGAAAAGTCCCTGCTTCTGCATAAGTAAACAGCCATTAAAGTGAGGGGAATTCCTGAGATTAGTCCTTGACTTCAGGTCTTAGTCACATAATTGTCTGTGCTACCTTGATATGAATCGCCATCTCAGAATATGATACCACAACTGATGGAAGATCTCGTTAGGCCTTCAAAAGCAAATGTACAATAACTCTGTAAGCTTCTTACTCTGAGCCTCTAGATTTTGATTCTGCAAATGCTTGTGTGGAGCTCTATCTCTACAGATACAGCTTCAACAATGTCTTTTGCATGAAATTAAGCATATACATAAAATTTTAGACAATTGGAGCATTAGGCAAAGTCCACTGAATTAAAATGAAGGAGGAAAAAATTGTAGCCTCCAAATATTTTTGAGTTGTGTAGGAATTTGAGTTCAAATGGAATTGTAACCTTTGATACTGAAAGTCCAGAAGAATGTGTATTATCTATTAAAAATTATGGGTTTGAGGGATTTTTTGAGAGATAATGAGTTTGATCTAAGAAATATCCGACTTGTAACTTGGACAAAGAAAAAGCGTGGGCCAGAATGTATTTGAAGCATTCTTGTCTAGCCTTTTTGCATTTTCCAGTTCAGTTGCCAGGGGTTTTCAGGAACGTTGTCTGCCATAATAACTTTGTAATTGTGCAGTATATCTGCAAAAGGCAGTGCAAATAAGTGACCTTTGCTGTATAGTTCTGCTGAATGAAATGGACTAAAGTCGGTCTTCCAAGTTGTTTGGAATATACAGAATTTTCTTGAAATTAAAGAGACAGCATGACACAGTATAACACAACTGTGAAGACAGTAAGCAGAATGACTTTTCAATTTCCTCTCCTTTGAACACCTGAGCAATGAATTTTGTAATGCATCAGAAAAAAAAACCCCTATCTTTTTGCCTCTATCTACCCTAAGATCTGTTTCTTAGCTTCTTTCAAATATTGTTGTCATCACCTCTACTGTAACCTCGAAGACCAGGTATATATTTGCAAAATGAAGCTGTCTAAATGATAGACAAATGTTAAAACAGTTGTCTTGAAGTGGCTATTAAATGAGGCATCTTAATTTGTTCTCTTCCTCTTCTCCCCACATTGCTCAAATTGCCTCTTGACCTTGCAGCTGCTTTGCAGGAAGGGGTAAATAGAGAAGTGGAGCCCAACCTTCATTTGGCTGACAGCTGTAGTGTTTGCCAAAGGCCTTATCTTTGGGAATATCTGGATACAGATACTTCAGAGGGTTTTCAGGAACGTTGTCTGCCATAATAACTTTGTAATCGCGCAGTATGTCGGCAAAAGGCAGGGCAGATAAGCGACCTTTGTTGTAGGGTTCCACCGAATGAAATGTTACATCTCCTGTAAAAACACAAAGGCACTGTAACTGCTGAGAATTAATAGATCAACGTCTGCAGTCGGAACACGTTTTTGCCTTTCTTTTGAAGTTTACACTTTTGCATGGGTTTTACCTATTCTTACCAGTGTCAGTATCTTCCAATATATAATTTCTGCATGTGAGGGAACAAATTTAAAGCCTGCAGTAAAGAACTTAGTTAATATGAAGAACTGAGGGGTAGACTGTCAGAGTTTTGGTTTGTGTTTGAGAAAATATGATGCTTTCATCATGCCCAAAACCATACTTAGAATTTTACCATGCACAAGAATTTTACTTTCAAACCAGAAAAAACCCTCAATTCCTATATTACAGGTATATTGCAGAGTTTGAATTAGTTTTGGTTTGGTCTTCTGGGTTTTTTTTTTTGGTTGTGGATTTTTTTCCCTTTTTCTTAATTATACTTACCATTTTCTAGTTGATCCACCCAAGTAAAGGTAATTCCACCCAGATTGCTCTCGCTAAACCTTAATAAAAATGTTCCTGGTGTCTTGTCTTTGAGCAGAATTCGTTCCTTCTCTTTGCTTACAAATCCCATAATGTACCTGTAGTGTAACAGGGAATCATGGGTTTACTTTTGGAAAAAAATACAGACTTTGATCTGTGTGATGCATAGAATCATAGAAGGGGTGAGGTTGGAAGAGACCTTAAAGATCATGTAGTTCCAACCCCTGTGCCATGGACAGGGATACCTTTCACCAGACTAAGTTGCCCAGGACTCTGGCCAGACTTTATGTAGGTGTCTAAAACCTGATTATAAAAGCTTTATAAGGCCTTGAGACTATGACCAAAGCTTCGTGTGATTTACATGTGGAGTATGACATTGAGCTCAAAGTGCTATGAAGCCTGTTGAAATCTATCCACAGTACTTGACTGTATAGAAAGAACAGAAGAATAGATTTAAACCTGTGTTTCTAAGAGAATCAGTGTTGTTCCTCTTTGGCAAAACTTGTCAGAAGGTATAAATAGAAGGGAGACAGAAGTGTTAAACTCATTGCAAACTCTATTCTGCACAGCTAAGACTGAGATTAGTAAGGGACAAAGTAGAGAGAGATCAATAAATATACAGCAGTTTCCTTGTTGCTCACCCATCAATCCAGAGAGGAAGAATGTGTTTTTTAATTAAGTCCAAAATGGCTTCGAGCCAAACCCAAAAGGTAAAAGACTTTCCAGGCAGATGTTCCTAATGGTTAAAAAACAACCACAAAACACAAACAAAACAGACACACACAAGAAGAAAATTGTAAGGGTGTTGTTCCCCGACATCTGTGTGACATAGCTAACTCAGTTTCTCAAGAATAAGCTGGTTTGTTCAAGTCAGAATGACAATTTCAACTGCGGTTTTGAGTAACATCTCTCTGTCAGCCTGACATAAAACAACCAGATTTTTAATATGTGCTGGAAGCATCTCATTTTTCAATGAAAAAAAAAAAATCACATTTGTTGTTTGTTCCTGGTTAGGAAATGACATTTTGAGTGAAATGATTATGAGAAAGTTGAAATTCTTTCAGTGTTCTGTGTTTGTTTAAATAATGTAATTAACATGAATAAAATGGGTTTATCCTTCTTTAGCAGTAAATTCCTCATCAAAGTTATTGCATATATTGATTGTCTTCAAATAATTTAGGTCACAACTGAGCATATAAAAAAAAATTACTTGTGCTTTATGAAAAACGTATTGCATGCTCTGATAACACGATCTATTGATCATTTACAGAACTATATAGGGCACACTGTAATGGCAGTTTCTGATATCTGTAGCAATATAACTAAGTAGATCTCCTATCCCAAGCTTTAAACTTCTGGAATTGTTGTTTTCCTCGTTAAATTTTTACAAGGGATGTGATTGTGCTGAGCAAGTCCCATGTGTGGCAAGTGGTGATCTTACCAGTAACGTCAGGGAAACAGAGTTAGGCACATGTGTGGGTGTTAAGGGAAATGAGAGTCCAGTTTTACTTTTGGAACTGTACCTTGCAGAACTTTGCCCAGGATAGTTGATAATCATTGTAACTGACTTGTTGTCCTGAAAGAAAAAAAAAAAAAAGACAAATGGTGCATGTATTCTTCCTGAAGTTTTGAAATAGATATAGCTTGATATCTGCATAGTTGGTTGTGGTGTGTGGGAAGTACTGTACATCCGGACTTGGAGAGGGGCATCCTAAGGGGCAGTTTTAGTGCACCCTTTTGAAGCAGCTGATAATAGTAGTTTAGGGAATATTTGCCTAAAATGCTCTGGGACTTGGTGTCTGCAACACTACATGCTCATTTTCAGTTTTTAGCCTGAATGTTATTTCTCAGTTTTCCCTCAGGCCTGTTCCTTCTGTGGGACAGCTGGATCAGGGTATTCAATAGTTCATCTTGCTGAGGTTACAGGGCCTCTTTGTTGTGCTGACACCAGTGAAGGATGGGTCCCAGATGTAAACAGACCCACAGGGCCAGATACTTAAAATGAAACAAAAACCAAACCAAACCTTATAAGGAAGCAAAAATATACTTCCTTTTGATTTCAGATGCTTCCTTACCAAGTAATTATCTATTGCAAAATAACATCACAGTTCAGTGTGACTTTGATGCCCTTTTTACAGCCTGGAAGTTCAAAAGTTGAATTACTTTGTCATGAGAATAAGCTGACACCTCCTTTCTTTAAAGAAAAAAAAATGTTGCTGTGACATTTTTGACGTCAGCTCTGGAACTGGAGGTCATGCCATGCTGGTTTTGGCTGGGGTAGAGTTCATTTTCTTCACAGTAGCTAGTGTGTTTTTGGATTTGTGCTGGAAACAGTGTTGGTTGTACAGGGATGTTTTAGTTCTTGCTGAGCAGTGCTTACACAGAACCAAGGCCTTTTCTGCTTCTCACCCCACCAGTGAGTAGGCTGGGAGTGCCAAGACGTGGGGAGAGAACACAGCTAGGACAGCTGATCATAACTGGTCAAAAAGAATATTCTGCACCATATGGTGACATGCTCAGCAAGTAAACTAGGGGAGAAGAAGGAGAAAGGAGGGGATCTTTGGGGTGATGGCATCTGTTCTCCCAAGTAACTGTTACGTGAGATGGATCCAGCCCTGATTTCCAAATTGAACACCTGCCTGCTGATGGGAAGTAGTGAATTAATTCCTTGTTTTGCCTTGCATTCACGTGTGGCTTTTGCTTTACCTGTTAAACTGTCCTACATTGACCCTTGAGTTTTCTCACTCTTTCAGTTCTCTCCCCATCCCACTGTGGATGAGTGAGTAAGTGGCTGTGTGGGGCTTAGTTGCCAGCTGGGGTTAAGCCATAACAAGGGCTTAAAGTCATTACCTGTAACTATCAAATATAAGAGCCAAAAGGCAAACAAAATCTGTGTATTTCTACACACTTACCCATAAGTTTCTCTGCCAGCATGTTGAGCTGTTCAGAATTGAGTCCACGACCGACGTATGATGAAAATTGCCAGCTCAGTACTTCTAAGAGCTGGCTTAAAGTGGCAGCAGGGGGGTTGTTGAAGAAAGACAAATTCTGCAACAGAATTAGTGCTTTGTTTAGACAGTTAGCAACCATGAAATACATTGCAGGCTATAAAAGGAGGCTGCAGGTACTTCAGCAGAATCTGGAAGTGTTGAAAGTGAGCTCTGTCTGTGTGGGAAACATCGAGGCAAATATGTGAGGGCCCTCCCACCCACAGCCTTCCAGCAAAATCCACTCAGGTGCCCGAGCAGAGGTGAGAGTCCTTGTGTGCATTTTCGATGATAAAATACCTTGCTGTGCTTCTGGTAGTGTCATGTGTAAGGACAATGAAAATATTCTTAAGTCCTGTCAAAAGATGTAGATGTTCTCACTATATTTCAATGTTTGGTCCATGGAAACCTTAAACTGTTACATACTGATATAGAGATATGTTATTGAATCATTTGGCTTATCTTAGTTTTTCATTTGGTTTCTGGACTGTGTGCTTAATGAACATACTGAAGACTGTGCAAAAACTCTCTGCAGTATCAGAGAGTGATAATGCAGTCCAGCCTGCCATCATTCTCAGGCCCTCTCCATGGTAAACTGTCTGGCCCTTTCCCTCCTCCAAACATCTGTGTGACTGCCAGTAATCCCCAACTGAAAGCCTCAGAGCTATTGACAGCACTGTTCTACAATCTGCAAGTACAGTGACTGAATCTAAAATATGTGCTGAGACAGATGGAGACTGAGAAAGAAAGAATGGTTCTGCTTTTGCTCAGGGTTACAGCCACTAGAAGTTGCTACTTAACATTTATAATCTTCTCCACAGAAATAACAAACCCTATAAAATGCATGAGGGAAAGCAGCACTTAAGTACATCACAGACCCACCCATGGTTTCGAACTGTACTAGTAGAATTATTTTTAACAGGTCTAGTTTTGATCATCCGTACCCAAAAGAGATAAATTCAAACTTAGAGAAGTTATGGAGAAGGGCTGTCACCTCTCCTTAGTTTAAGAACCACTACTTTAGCATACAAAAAGGAAAGCTAAGGGTGCGTTTGGCTTTATATCCAAGTGGGGAAAAAAAGATAAAGAGAACAGCATTAAAGTGTGATGTTGATAACAGTGTATGTGAAGAAAATAAGGCCAGTTTAAGAGGGAAATACGTATCTTTTATAATTAATGTATTTAGTAACCAAATAATACAACTGTGAAAAGGCATAAAGTCAGTACTTAAATACTGAAGACCTACCTGAGGATCATTGGTTGACAGATTGTACCAAATAATAGAAGCCCAGGCGTTGGGCAGTTGGCTGACATTGGAAATCATCACCACAGGCAAAGAGCTGGTCTGGGGGAAAGAATGAATGCAGTATGTAAATGCTGCTGAGAAAAGTGTTAATACTGTGTTATGCTTTGATTATTTTTTTTTATTATTATTTTTTTTTTATCCCTCTCTTCCTTCCCAAAGCTTACACTTCTTTTCCAGAAGTTCTGGAAGTCTTGTGTCTGCCTGTGGTTACTGCTGGAGATACATCTAGAACAGACAGACCTGTGGTCTGGCCCAGTGTGGTTGTTCTTCTACAAACTGCTGGAAAATGCCTTTTATTCTTGCCCCAGAAAATCTGGCTAGAATACTCACTTCCAAATTTATAGTCAATCCGTACAGGCAGACCTGTGTTTCAAAGCTGATGGAGTGCAGTTCCTCAGTCACCATGTGAGGGCCCTGAGGGAGTAAGGAGGTTATAGAACTGTGAGTACACAGTTGGCATTTAACACTGTTTTAGTGATCCAATTGCTGAGATTACCCTTGGAAAGAAAACACATATCAAAGATATCAGTAGAACAGGAAAAGAAGGAATTGAAGGAAATAGTTTTTTTGTTAAACTCTGACATTAAATTAGTCCAGAAGTCTGAGGGTTTTTTTCCTGATTAATCTAAAAAAACCCCCTTAATACTGTTAAAGCAATACCTTTACACTTTTAACTTTTTCTAAAATGGTATTTTTAACCACAGATTTACACACAAAAAGTTAAAAGATAATTTTGTGTGTCTGATAGAGATTGTCTCCAGCTTTCCTTTTCCTAAAGTTTCTTTATTGATTGACAGTTCTACTTAAAACAGAGATATTAAACTTCAAGGAGAAACAAAATGAAAACAAAACAAAAAACCCACATCTTTAATGACAAGTAGGCCTTCATTCAAGAACACAGGTTTGTTGTGTGTACTTAGATGATACTAGTTGAAGGAGTAGAGGTCTAAATCATTAATCCTAAGTAAATCTGGTATTAAAAACCCAAGCCTTCCTTAGACGGGAAAAAAAAAAAATCTATGTCATTGTTGATTAAAGTTTGTAGTACAGGCATTTGTTTTGATTACAAACTGGCATAGCTCTGTAAAGATCCAAATCTCTGCCCTTTAGGAACCATATCTTTCAAAATACATTTCCATCCCCAGAAAACAAAGTATAAAAATATTTTTGTTCTTTTCCTCTTCTCTTTGTTGTTTTTCTTTCCCTTCCCATCACGTGTTTGTTTTGTCAGAGTTTTCTTAAAAAAAAAAAAGAAATAAGAAATTGCAAATCAAAATGCTTCCATTTACTGAAATACTCTGCTTTCAGTCAATGTAAAATAGAACTATTCCTTGGCAGAGTGCCTCGTGGCCTTATCTTTCCTGTGGAGCACCTTCTCCAGGACAGGTTCAGGCCACTGCAAGAAAAGATACTGAATAAATGAGAGATTGAGACCACAGGAGGTCCTTAGGCATCTGAATAATGAATCTGCCTTGTAGAGGGAAAATCCAGCTTAGAGCTGAAGGCTTTTACATGGAACACTCATCCATCAAATGATCTCAAATGTTTTAATACAGGTAGAATCAATCCAGTTCAACCTGTATTGCTGACACAAAGTCGAAAAGGGTTGGTGAAACTCCACTTCTTCCCCTACACCCCCTCCTCGACCCTATTACAATTTTGCAGAAACTTAAATTTTTCTCCTGGAAAAATCATCTCTGCAAAAAGGTAAATCTACATCAAAGGACAAATCTAAATTAGATAACTTGCACTTTTTAAAAATTTTTTTAATGAGGCAAGTTATATACACTTCCAGTGTACTCATCCTATAACAAACCCAGTCTTAAAATTGTTATAGTTGCTGTTAGTAAACAAAACTCAACCCTTGTTCATGTACAGGCCAACTATGTTCATGTAATAATCACTCCACAGACTGACTTGACCAAGGAGAAGCTCTGTTTGGGGAAATCAACAGTGAACCAGGTCACAGCTCAGCTGTCCTAATTCTCCACAGCCCTATGCTTCATATAGTTTTAAAGGCACAATGTGTTGAAGTGAGAGGAAAATGCTACCAAAAGTAGAGCACCAACATTTTTTAACCTACATTTTTGCCTTTGCTTGTCTTCATGCAAATGACTTTGTAAGTTGCAAAGTAACTGGGAGGCAAACCTTGAGTTTCAGTCTTGCTAATCGGGTTGTGAGTTCTCCGTTCAGAAACACTGAGTAAAATGGGCACAGGTATCTTTTGCTTTAGGTTTTGGTGAAATTCTCCATGCTGGTCACACCTTTGCTTTGTACTTAAAGACTGATTTAAGTAACTGTTCTGCTTGTATAACTACAGCTATTTAGACTGTGATATGAGTGATTTTTTTTTTTTATTTTATTTTTTTTAACCTGTCAATACAACTTGACCCACAGTTATGCTGATGTGGAAATGCATTAAACCAGTGAAGGTTATTTAGCTTTATAGCCAGCATTCATAGAAGCATCTGATGATTTTAATTGCCTTGGAAGACAGTAATTGTTCTGGTAGCATTGGCAGAGACTGACTCATTGGCTGCAAGCTTCTGACTCTTGTTTCGGTCACAGATATATCTGCAGATATGTGCTGTTAAATAGCCGTGCCAAATTTAGTGATGGTCCATGGCCACCCTAGAGTTTGTGTGTATTCCTGCCTTTCCTCACTCTGCCTACTGCCTCCAGTGGCCGGATGAGGAAATCCTGCCTTCTCCCCTGCCAAAAACGCAGAAGGTGAGTGGATGAAGGCAGTAACTTTCTTGCCGGAGATTCTGCCTTTGTCTGTGACACCTGGGGCACTCAGGGGAAGCCAGAGCTGAAAAGAAGGACGTAGGGCAGAGCTGTGAAGGTGGTGAGGAAGGGGAAGGGGTGAGAAGCTGGGCAGGGGAAGAAGCAGAGGGTGGTGGTCTGCACGTGAAGGATGCTGGAGAGTAGCACAGACACGGAAGGAGGGCTCTGTGCTACAGGCGGATGCAGGGGCACGGTGTCCGGGGCTAGGCTTAGTGCTGAGGTTAATATTTGTGGCTTCTGTTCTCCACAAGGCAAGGATGTAGGGATTTTAAGCTCCTCTGCTAGTGAACAAGCCCTTGTGATACCTTCTGTTAGGGCTGACGTGCTATATACGGTGTCACCACGAGAGGGGAACCTACAACCGGATTGGGACGAGTGCTGGTAAACTGAGCATGCTTTTGGTCCTGGCTGAGGCAAGCAAACTCCTTTGATGCAAAAATAATTACACCTTTACTTTAGCTGTGAACTTGGCCAACGGATATTTAAAGAGCCGTTCCCTATAGGAAAAATTATTTCAACAAAAAGCTTTAAAAGTTTGGGATTTTTTTTTCAAAATGTAAATGACCAAAAAGGTGACCTTAGAGAGGAATGCATATATTTGGATAATTACTTATTACTTTCTAATGTAACTTTTAAAATATACAGATTTAAGGCATATAATTAAAATTTCTATGAGTTGTTCTGAACCATTCTCATTATACTTATAATAGCATATGATAATTGGGTCCTGTACTTACTGTAAGAATAGAATATATTTCAAAATCTAACAACTCTTTGATTTAAATAAAATCATATCTGAAATACTTGTGAGAGTAGTCAAAACCAACATGTAAAATAAATGCACAAACCTCATTTCCTTTGCTTCCAGCACTTGTTTTCATTTCTTTGGGTTGCTGTATAAAACAAAATAATATTTATGTGTCAGAGAAATTATAGACAGAAGTACATATAAAGAAAATCATTTGTAACCAGAATGCTCTTAGTATAATAAGGTAATGAAGGCTCTGACATATACTTTGATGAAGGCTCTGACACTACACCTCAAAAATTCTATTCAGTGAGGAATCTTAGGATATTTTTCAAGATTTTTTACGGAAACTAAGTTAATGTAACAAAGCATTAATTAAGGTGCTTGCAAAGTGTATAATACAAAAAAGCACTAAAGACCATCCATCTCAATCTCTTTTTGCAAAACTACTCTGAGGCACTGTGGTTAAGCCCCAGAAACATCATAGGTGAGGGAGTCTAGTCAGAAAGTAGGACTCCCTGGGCTGTTAGAGAAGTTACAGAAGCAGTACTGTAGTCTCTCAAAAGACAGTTGTAACTGGCATTAATTTCCACTAGATCTAAAGCATTCAATTCCATTTCCCCTAGACAATGGTGGTGTGGTTTGGGTTTCTTGTTTGTTTTGTATGTTGGGTTTTTTGGCTTGGGTTTGTTTTTGGGTTTAGTTTTTGTTGTTGGTTTGGTTTTGGTGTCTTCTGTTTTTTTGTTTGGTTTTTTTTTTTTTAACCAATCTCAGTTTCTGAGGTGTGTAATTCAGCATGATTAGTCTTTCCCTTCTCTGGTGTTAACTAGGATTTGCTTTGTCATTTCTGTGAAAATATATCATCTTATTTTATCGAATGGATGAAGTATGGAATGGTATAAAGAGGTTCTAGGAGTAAACTTTCTATATAAACAGAAAGAAAATGAGTGTAGGCTTGACAGTAACACAGTTCTCCCTCCATAGTTTCCAAAGAATCTTTTATTTCTTTACCAGAAGTATACAACAGGAAAAGAGCAGTCAAACTTACCAAATGTCGAAATTCTACAGACAAACTTCCATTTGCAGATTCATCCATGTTCATTGCTTTTACATGTGTTCCACACAGAACAAATCTACGATTGCTGTGGAGGACATTACACTTATGTATTCAAATACTGCCATATGGGAAAAATTTAAGAAATATGATATTTTATTGTCTTACCTGACAGTTGAAACATTCCTAAAATAGAAGAGGGGCAAGGGGGAGGAAAGAGATTGTGAATCAGTAAATGTGTAAGCCATAACTTATGCTGAGAAACATATCTTGAGATGGTAGATTTTTGCCTTGTCATGGTTAGTTTGTATTACCAATACAACTTCAATTTTTAAACTGAAGAACTGATATTCATACTGTCCAGTTAGACTTTTGAATCTGTATATTTTATGTTGCTATTTATTGTTGGACACTACATGGATTTGAGAGAAACAGTCCTGGCTTCTCTCTTGCTCCTTCCTCACTGGGAGTGTTTTCCTTCTTTCTTGTGGGCCAACATCCACGTCCATGCAGTCAAGGTGTTTTTTAGGGGCTTGCAGAAGCACAACAGGCAGAAGAAGGGAGTAGCTGGTACCTCTGGCTGGGGATGGTGCATGGTGAAGGCTTGGAGAGTATTTCAAAGCTAACTATCCCATAAATGCAATACAGTTTGGTTTTAAGTTGTTGTGTGATGCTGCTGTATCAGACTGATGAACTTTATCTAAATCTTGAGACAAATCTTAAATGGACTTCCTGCCTCTTAATTTGAAAATACCGATTAGATTTAGCAGATTTTTTTTAAAAAAAGAAATCTTCCACATTAAAAAAAAAAAAAAAAGAAAAAATGTTACTCTGATCTTTTAACTGTTCGGGTTTTTTTTGCTTTCTTTTGGTTCGTTTTTTTTTNAAAAAAAAAGAAAAAATGTTACTCTGATCTTTTAACTGTTCGGGTTTTTTTTGCTTTCTTTTGGTTCGTTTTTTTTTTTTTCTTTTCCTTTTTAGAGCAACATTTAAATCAGATAAGGTAGCCATTGAAAAAAAACCCGTTGTCTCTCTAGGGAGAGAGAATATCTTAAAAGTTTCTTACTTGTCGATAGTTGCTTTCACTCTGATCTGGTAGTTCAGCTCTGGCAATTTAATTAGCAACCTTCAAAACAGAAAATGCAAAATTGAATATTAACAGAATGAATTTCTCACCAGAAAACATTAGAGACTGGTAGCTCCAGACTAGAGTATCAGAAATTATTATAACCTGAAAACAGATAAGACATCTAGGATTAGAACACAGTTTACAGGGCTGAATACTCAGAAAGAGGAGCTGGGCTGTTCCAGTGGCAAGTGTTCTACTTTCCCTGCAGGTATGTGGGAAATTTAGTATGTATTTGAGGGAATGGCTGGAGAGACACCAAAGAAGCAATAATTAATTAAGAGGTGGATTTGTATGATCTCTGACTGCACCACAGATGTACTTTCCTCCATGTACCCTTTTTCACACCCTCCCCCCCCAGTCTCCACACATGGTTTTTGCTGTGAAGTGGAAATGAGATGAGAGTTTCTCTTGAATCTTTGCTTTTTCACAAAGTCAAGCAAGGAGCTAGTGGGAGAGAAATAACTTGTCATTGATTGATCAGAGCCCCCCAAAATGGAGTAGATTTTCTTTCCTCTCTGTACAGAAGTGGCTCTGAGTATTCTGATGTTGGCTTGTATGATATGGATCATTACTTACTCAGTTTCTAAAGTCACTTAAACAAGAATTCAATACATACAGAACCCCAAAGGTGCTGACTTTTGGCCACAGTCTGCCTCTCATCCCCACCCTGTTTTATTCTTTATTGTCACTTGTTCTGTGTGACAATGTTCCCTGTTCCAGAAAACCTCCCTAGAGTTAAAAGGATCTCTAACACAAGTTGGGCTGCTTTGCTTTCTAGATTCTCCTAGGATAAAATGCTGTACACAAATGAGTTTATATCAGATTTTCTTCACTTACCTTAATTTAACAGTGAACTGTATTAATGTTTTAAGAACCATTGGCCTCTGGGGATGTGTTGGCATGCAGGGCTGCCTTTCAACCACAAATGAACTGTGTGAAAAAAAAGCGAAACAAATAGATTTTTAGGAATATGTACAAACAAAGTGCTGTTTTAGCAAGTGGGGAAATGGGGCTGGAATCTCTTAAAGACTTATTTTTCTACAGATACTGAAGTGGAAGCTATGTATTCCAACTCTGAGTTCTCAAAATGATCCAGCTTACAGTTGAATTGTTCTCATAAGAAAACAGGTATTTGGGACACATTGAAAATCAAACCAAATTCTATAGTCCTAAAATACAAGGCTGATAAAAGTCTTGATGTTCCAAACTTTTATCAGAACAATAAAACAGGGTGTGAAAATACATTGAGCATGGCTTCAATGAAACTGATAATTTAATCTTCTTTTATGCGTATATAAAAAACAAGTGAGTATGTTTTACTTTCAGATGGTCACTTGTGGTATGTCTCTGGTATAGCCAGTACAAAAGGCAAGAGAAATGATGATAATATTTTCTCTATTAATAGAAGGGTGAATTGGGAGGGGGGAGTAGGGGGAGTATCTTGGTGGGGAAGAGGAAAGACAAGGAACATTTGCTTTAAAAAAAAAAGCAGAACAACAAACACAAAACCTCACAACTTTTCTCAGCAGAATGTACATAACTAAAATAAATGGGTTTCTGCCATTCACTTAGAGCCAGAACTTGGTCACAAACCCTTAACTGCTACCCACAAGAAGCTGCCTGGCACCTTCAGTTTCTAGGAGTTTTGATGACAGCTGTATGTACTTCTTATATTAGGAACTTGGTCATAAAGTTTGAGTGTCTGAGGAACTTATTTGGTTTTAATTCTTAGCGGTACGGCCTCACTGTTGCAGTTGAGGTAACGTTCTCTACACTGACAATGGCTTACGCACTTCCGGAAAAGATTGTAGAGCAGAAAGTTGACTTTTTCCAACAGCTGAGGTCTTTGCACAGGAATAGGGTCCCCGTCGTAAGTCAGTCTGGTCAACAGCTCATCCAGTTTTTCTAGTTGCCTTCTAACTTGAAAGAGACTCTCTGCCAACAGCGTAAAACTACAGCAAGACAAAGAATTAATTTGCAATCTTTCATGCAAACCATTTCTTAGAACATAAGGACTAGTGAAGTTCTTGCTTGGGGAAGTCAGAATCAGTATTGATTAGTGCTTTCTAGCTTTACCCAAACTCACATCCATTCATCTTTTGTTTACAGGAGTATATCAATACATCTGGCATATTACCTACTTTATTTTCAAATATAAATATTTTTGCAACAACAAAACACTGTCTATGACAATTTGGGAGAAATATATACGAGGTTCTGATGTTTTATATGCAGGGCACTTGTGCCAGTATTAATTATTTCCTGCAGCTCAGCAGTTTTGGAAAATGCATTCTTTGAAAGGATAATATTTATATAAAATGAGTAAGTTAGCAAGACTGAAGAAGTTTAAAAACAGCAAGGAAAAATAAATTCAAACACCCTTGCTAATGTTTCAGTAGGGTATGTGTGTATAAAATCATGCTTTTAAGCTATTTTTAGCCTCTTCATGGGAAAAAAATACTTAATTTAAAAACCCAAACCCGATTGAAACACACATACACACACACAAAGGCAAAAAATCTTTTTCCTTCAAACCTTAAAAAGGTTTTCCTTCCTTTTTACTTCTTAATTTTTGCTTCACCTATTCATAAGAGAAGTCTGATGGGAGAGAAATGAGCAGGATGGTGACATTCTCTGGCTATTTTCTTTTTATTTGCAATTGCTTTAGTGTTGCCACCTCACAGACTTCTGCCATTCAATTCCTGCACAGTTTGAAGTCTGGAGGGGTGATGTACCTAGTGAGTCAAAGCATAAAGTCTCTACCCAGCTCCTGCCTAGACAAAACTTCCACTGTCCTCAATGACAAACTTGGTCAGCACCATTCTTACTCAAGCAAAACTCCCAGGAGAGTATGTATCATATATCTGGAACAACTCCCAAACCCAAAAATGAGTGGCTGCCACAAGTCAGGCTCAGCAGTTCACTGTAATGTTATTAATTCTGAATGGCAAATGTTGTCCACCAGATCAAATTGTACGTTTAGTTATTTCCTTGCTTAGCTGCTGATAAATTTGCTGCTGTTGCAGCTGATCTGAGGGACTGATCATTTCAAGTGCAGCAGACTTCCTGTGGTTTTCAGTGGAAAGACAAGTTCAAGGCAGGTTTACCAGTTCTGGAGCTGATCGAGCCCACCGTGGAGAGGACCCCCGATGCAGGCAATCTGCTGCCGTCTCTTCCAGTCTAGCAGCTCTTCAGTCAGCATGTTGCTCATAAGCATATCGATTTCATGAATCACACGCCCTATTTTACTGAGTACTTCCTGCAAGGTAGGAAAGGTGTCACAAACTGACCACAGGCAACTGCCACAAATTTCAGCAATTATCATGAAGTGCTGATTACATTTTTTTCAATTATTTTGAAAGTAACCATACTTTCTTCCTACTGCTTCAGTGACAGGATTCATCACCCATTGTACTTGGAATTAATCCTGAATCTCTATGAACTCTTTTTCAGTAAAACTTCTATTTTGGGGGAGGGGGTGAGAGGGAATATTGTTGCATTCTTTGTGGGCATAACACCTCCAAGATGTTGACACTTGCAAGCACTGGCAAGTTCAAAAAGTTCTCCTTTTGTTTTGCATCATATACAGTGCGTTGTTTTTTTGTTTGCTTGCTTTAACCATAAAAAACCCCCATGGACTCAAACAAATTGCCTCACTTACGAAGTGTGCAGAATCATATCCTTGTTGTTGAGCTGTTGTTTAATTGCTGATTCCTTAACTGTTAGTCAAAATCACCCATAGTCACCCAAACATTTTGTGGATTTTTAACTCCTGTGTAATTTGCCTGTTCTTCTGAGATGAGACTTTAAAAAGGCACGCATACACATTTGAGTATTTGGTGTGGGAATAAGGGGAGAAAGCAGATGAACCACAAATGACAAAACATTGTCACTAACCTTTCTCTTGTAGTCTAAAGTATTGAGCATTGCCTGCAACACCAACATTTCCTGTTTAATGTGGGTGCTGTTTTTGTCATTCTGCTCTGCAGGGGATGAAAAAAAACCAGTATAAATATGTGCATGGGTGCCTGTGCATGTTTATAAGGGGAAGAGAGGAAAAAACCATGATCAGACTGCAGCATGAACTAGTGAAAAAATAAACTGCATCAGTAGATTATGTAACTGCATATTTCATTTGAAAGGACTAACTTTAGAACAAGTTTAACTCAAGGTTTTATGGCTTCAGTCTTTACATGTGTATGTGGAACAGGAAAAGGCAGAAAAAACACAGATGAAACCTAGACATCTCTACATTTCTCATTCATGTGCATACTCATGGTTATTATGTACATCTGGTTAGATCAGTGATTGATCTGTACACACAAATATGCTCGTGGTGTCAGCAGTGAGGCTAAAGCTCTTTGGACTCAATGTGAATTAGTATGTCTGGCAGAGAGAATGGAGGTTAGGCATTTGAAAGAGAGATAAAGTGTTCATCACCATGGGGATTTCAGCAGCCAGGACTACTGGTCACTGGGGATTTCCCCCTCTCTCTAGCTTGTGTCCTTCTCTGGATCATAGTCTAGTTTCAAGCATCCCCAAGCTTACCCCATGCTCTTTCATATGCAGCTCTTCCCCAACCTCACCTTTCCCCACATTTTGCTTTTCTTGCATCTTTCAAGCTATGTTCAAAAAAGAAATTGGTGCCAGCTGTGCCTCTGCTAAGCTCTGGATTGATGTCTTCCCTCTTTTTTGGTAGAGGCAGACAAGTAACTGATGGTCAGCTCAGCCACAGCGATTGCTCACACACGTTGTAACCTGGCTGTGCTGGTGTAGAGCACTTGTGACATAGTGAAATTTGAAGATCTGAAAGTCATTTTTTATAAGCAGGTTCGATTTTGCAAGTGGGGCAGGCTTCAGTCTTCTGTGTGGCCAATAGTTATGAGTGGCCTGATGACTAACAACTCATTAAACCATGGCAACTTGATCTCTTCTGGTTGCTGGGCCATATACAGCCTTAAACATATAGGATTGATGTGTTTAAGAACTCAGACATTTCAAGCCCAGCATATTTGCATGTTAAAATATCTGAGCAGACACAAGCAGACCCCAGTTTCTTTTCTGAAAGAGATCATGCAAGGATTGTTGCCATGTGCGCATCTCAACCATCACAGGCTGCTCAAACATGCAGTCAGAGTGCTTACCAGCTGCTTATCACCACTGTGGTCAAAAGAGAACAGAAAGCCAAGTTAGAGGCTAAAAAGATCAGTTTTGCACAACTCTGCTTTGGGAAATAAGAGGCTCTTCCACATCTTGCCAAGGAAGGGCCATGTGATAAGTGAGGAAGTTGAAAAATAGATCCTTTAAATTGAGAAATTTATTACTTTTCATGCCCTTATGCAGTTTATCTATAGAAATAGATACTTGCTTGACAAGTTCCTCTTTACCCTCTTAACCCCAAAAGTCATAATAATTCCAGGACTATAACTATGCAAACTGAAGATCCATTTTTTGTGTTTAGATATACTATTTGGGTAACACACAAAATCACCTGATGTTGGAGTCTAGCCACAGAATCAGCCATTTCCCAGAGGATCTAAAGATGATTGTAAAGACTCTTACCTAAGCTTTGTATTGTTTTATACCTGAAGTCAAATTCCTCTTGCAAGTCTTCCAAGTATTTCACATCTTGGTCAGTCATCTTTCCCGGGGAAAAGAAATGAACAAATGTGTAATGCAGTAGTTTTACTTTCCTACCATTTGAAAATCCCTGAACAGTTCTGAAAACTCTGGTTTACTATCTAGTAAATTTTAAAAAAGTTTACTAGATTGAATTACACATGCGCATTTATAACTAGATTAGTTTTATTTGTTTAGAAAGTCAAGTATTATCCTCTCTCCTGCAGTCAACAGTAGTTGATACAGCTTTACTCCTTCTTGTTCACTAGTTCAAAGACATACTGGAAAGTAGGAATGATTATGTTTAGCCTGAGATTAACTGAAATTATTATACCAATAATGTTACTCTCTTCTTGAAATTTTAAAGCAGGGCAAATGGATAATTTTGTGTTGACTTAAATGGAAATTGCAATGAGGTGTGCAAAGCCAAAAAAGGTGGAGTCAGAGGCAGGAGCAGAGCTCACAGAATTTATTTACAGAATTACTTAAGAATTTGGGTGAAGAAATGAAACATTTTTGCTGCTTTGGCATTTTTCAAGAGGTCTTTTTAAAAGGTGTTTTCTAGTAACCAATCAATGATAATTCAAAAAAGGACATAAAAAGAAGGAAAATAAAAAATGTGGAAATCATCTGTTTTACTTTGAAGGTCTATTTCTGTGCTGCTTACAGGAAGCCTTGATTTTGCCAACAGCTCATAAGCAATCCTTTTTAGTTCCCTGAGATGTGCATGTTAAGTGCCTGTGAAAATACAAAAACTTGTTTGCTAAATTAGGACACACAAAAATTAGCCATTTTGATTTACTCTTTATTTTGGAGACTAAAGTTTTAAATTATATGTGTAAGGTATGAAATCACATATAAAAGGAGCTGGCTAATTTCTGTGTTCAACTTAATTACCTACTAAAAGACCCCTGGTATCTAGAATATGTTCTCATTTTCACTGGTCTCTCAGGGGTGGCTGCACTTCCCCACATGGGCAGAAGGAGCAGCATGATAGGCTGCTGCTTTGTCTGCTTTCAGTCTGCAATTCTTATCTTACAAATTTATACTTAGATAGAGATCTAGTATTACATTCTTCTAAAATTAGCTTTATCCTTTTAAGGGTTTGATCACTCTAACACTTCCTCAAGAAAGGAGACACTGATGAGAGAATGATGCTAGGACCTCTTTCCAGTATACCAGAAGTGTTGCTCCTGAATGACACATGGACAGGCATTTTGAATGTAATTTCTACACTGGGACTGCTGCAAAGCTGAAAGTGGGGCTGGGGTAGCAAAAAAGCCATAGGTAATCTAAGTCCTTATCCTGCCTTGAACTGGGCAGACAGGTATTTTCTGGCTGAGCTTTCAAGGCCTCTGTGGGACATAGCTACAGGTTTGACTCAGCCCAGCTCTGCCCTGCAATGGTATGAGAAACTCCTGGAGGATGGTTACCATCAGCTCCCAATGTTCTTCTCCCCTCACGTCTCCAAACCACGTAATTATGTCACGTAGCCTTCGGCTTTATAAAAGTCTTGGTACGTGACTCAGAGGTCATGAAGGTTAGCTACTGCTGACCCAGCTAAAGGCAGTGAAGTTGCAGAAACACATCTAATGAACCTCATGTCTTTTTAGAGACAGGAGGTATGTTCTTACTGCACTCGGTGGTCTGCCTGCAACTCGCACAGGGATGAGTGTGATGGCTTAAAAATGTGTAGCTCTCACACTGAACCCAGAGGAGCTGTTAACACCTGAGGTGTGTCCTGGGAGGTTAGTCTGGGCAGGTGTCTTTGGAAAAATGGAAGATGGTTAGTGCATCTTGTTGGCAGAAGTCTTTGTGCTACCCACCTTAGAGTTAGTTCAGGTATGTCTGTATGAAAATCGTGTCTGCAGAGACTGCAAACAGACAAAAAAAGCTACCTGAGCGCTGTTCTTGATGGCTGACACTTTGTGTTCTACATTTCTTTGACGTTCTGAAACCACAGAGTTCTGTAGAGACTTTTCCAGTGGCCCCTGTAACACATTGAACAGATAACTGGTGGATGAGTAACAATAATGAGTGACAGTAACTGTATTGCAAGTCCTAGCATAGAGAGGGAATTCAGAAGCCAGTGTTCAACCAGCAGGAGACTGGTGTAAACACACAGATCTGTTTAGTTCCACAGATTTGAAAGACATGAGGCTTAACTTTGAAATTCAAAAGGTGAAAGGGTATGGGTCTAGTAAATTAAAGAAACTGAAATATAGATTATTAGATTTCTGAAAAAGACCCATGTCACAAGACTCCTATAGGAATATGTATTACATCCACAGGTAATTAAAAAGAACTCATTTCACCTGAAAATTCTCTTTGGGTTTTAAATACGTAACAATTTCCCAAAAATAAGTTTTAAAATGGTTGGTTTTTTTCTTCAAACAACATAAAAATCATCAATGCCTTTGCAACATATTGGATGGAATGTCTTTTGCATTCCATAATTAATATGAATTAATGCATTGCATAATTTAAAATATACACATCTGTTTTGCGAAGAATAATCTCTTTAAAACCTTTCCCACAGATTAAAGTCTTTGAAGATTAGCTGTGACACAGAAGTCCCTTACAGCAATGTTTGCAGCAGTAGAGCCACTAATGAAGTTCAAACATGAGTTTAAAGGGCAACATTTGGCAACCCCTAGTGCACACAAATCACTCCAGTGGAATGAGAGGGCAGGATCTGGTTTTAAAAGCATGTGAGCAGATTAACATGGAGCAGATTAATGAAATGTAATTCATTACCTGTACAGGCATGCTAGCTGCAGCCAATATTCTTCTTTCTTCTCTTAAGCAGTTTGAGATGATCACTGCTATATGCATGGGATTACCATGATATTTGCCCTGCAAGGACAAGTAAATACAACTTTAAAAAATTCAGAATTCAGATTGTCCCTCTGGAAATCACAAGCAATGTGCTTCAGTGTCTGTGAGCTAAAGCCTGGTGCAGGTGGAAAAGACAACCCTACTGGTTTTGGCCTCTGATAGTGCTGGTTCAGCCTTGCAGTGCAGCATCAGTCAGTGCCAACATAATAAAATATTCTTAGCGACGTTCTACAAAGATTTTAAAGATACAATTCTGAGATGTATATCATTTGGAGATCAAATTGCTCCACTGCTACCACAGCTGTTTTGAAAGGGCTTTCCTGTCAGCCTATTCTGTGCGTGATTTTATCACATCTTCGATTTTCTGTAGGATGTTGCTGTTAGCATGTAGCACTTCTCACAACAAAAGTTCGTAAGCATATCAATATGGTAATGATGCAAGCAGAAAGGCTTCCTCAGCATAAAGTAGAAGGCTTAAATTGTAATGTCTATAAACAATTTTTCTCTTTCAAAAAATAATGTGCCTAATGTGAAGGAATAAGCAAATCTTGTCCCAAGCCAAAGAACCAAAAAATGTCTATATTTTTACACCACCAAGATGTAAAGGAGGACTGGGCAGAATTTGAACTAATATTGGTTTATGCTGTTTATCAAATTGGAATGACTGAGGACTCTCAAACAGCTTCTTTCATCGTGATGTATTCACCACTATCTGTCATCACAGATACCACTGTGTGATCACTGTCTCAGTATCCTTCATGGCTTTTGTCCAGTATCGTTAATTCAGATTCTCTTCATTCAGTGCTCATACAGTTTTTGGCCATTCATTAGAATTAATCCAGTTAATTTTCCTGTGCAGTTTCTAGAACTGGATTCTAGAACTTCTGTTTTCCCCTCTTTATGATTAGTCTTTATTCTCATGACACTCTTCTGCCACTGAGAGCTTCTTTTATTCTAGCTTTCTCTGAATGTGACACAAGAAGTTTATACATACTTAAATTCATGCTATATCTTCCTTTGGTAGCTCATGCCAGTATTAGAAATGAGGGTGTGAAAGCATCTGATAGAAATGTGAACACACTGTTTCTGTATGCCAACAGCTACCATGACAGTGAACATTTATTTCTAATGCTTTTTACTAAACATTTCTTGTGTGTTTTTGCATGAAATCTATGTAATCTGAAATACTTTTTCATAATTTGTTTTGACTTCAGTTACAAGGTAAAGAAATACTATATTAAAAATGGCAATTTTGATCATGGAGACTTGGTTTGAGCTGCTTGGTATTAAACACTGTGTTGGTTATACGATGGTTCCAGGTATCACAGAATATTCTGAGTTGGAAGGGACCCACAAGGATCTTCAAGTCCAGCTCTTTAGTGAATTTCCCCTCCAAGGACTGAACCCAGAGCCTTGGCATTACTGGCACCAGACTCTAACCAACTGAACTAATCTCAGGATTAATATAGACTAAGGTGATAGATATAGGACTCTTAAAATTAAATAATTGATGTAGAAAATGTTCCCTTCTAAGGAAACCTTGACTTCCATGGCATTGTTAGCAAGGAAACTAAACTTTCTAATGTTTCTAGGGTTTCTGAAGTCTTTTCAGGACAGATAAAGTACCCACAGTTCAACCATGGCATACCCAAAACAGTCCCAGTGCTTGCCCCCATTGTCTTTAAAAGCAGTTCAGGACAGTGCTTTACTCCAGCAATCAATTATCAGCTGTATCAATTACCCTGAGGAACAGGATATATGGACCTGGCTGTTTTTTGGGAGCTTCTCTGGAAATAAGAAGTGGTGAGTAATACCACCCTAGGACACACTATGCCTTAGATGAAACACTAAACACTCCCTCCCTGCCTGCTCCTTCCTGGGCAGTGAGGGGGAGCTTAAGATTAAGGATACACTCCTTGTTTCCATGTCAAATAACAGTGCCAAAGAGCTGTCATTACTTCTGTCTCCCTGACAGCTTCTTGGCTATAAGGGTAGTAACTATGTTCTTGCTGCACACTTCCTTCAGCAATTCAGGTCCTGTAATATATTCATAGTCGCCTTCATTGAGCACATTCCCAATCTGTGTAGTATCAGGATGTAACTTTGGGAAGGGAAACATGGGAAATAGCTGTGATCTTCCTGCAAAGGATTGAGTGGAGTGTCATGTGGAAGTAAGGTCAGGGTATGGTCCAACAGCAAAAGCCAGAGCAAATTAACTGCTGCAAAGAGTGGCTGTGCTCCAGCTGTGTGGTGCCAGCCCAGTGCCCATCTGATTCCTTAGGGAGTCAATCCAGGTTGCTAACTGGGATGGAAACAACCCATGCTTGAATGGGTTGTCTGCTCCTCAGTGGACTGCAACTGCTCAGCAAAGGATGAGTTTATAGTAAAAGACTAGCACAAGTGAAGTCAGGAGAGGGTAGCTGGGAGAGAGGAGAACAGTCATGACTTGTTTCAGCTGCAGTCAGTTTTATCACTAAGCCTGTCTCATCCACCTGTACCTTGATTAGATGAAAAAACAATCCTGTTATTAATAAGGCTTGGGATGAAAGCTGTGGGGAGAAATCTGTGACTGTGGAAGCCTACTGATGGACATATTAATTACTAAGTTAAGTCTGTTAATTTATGCTTGTTGCTGTTATTTTTTTTTTTACTAGTAAAACAGTGTTCTGCCTTCCCCATAGATGGTCTGTAAATGAGGACCATGCCACAAGTCGGTATCTGAAGCTACAATGCTTGAGGAGTGTGTAGTCCCAGCTCACCACTGCCTGAGAGAATACAAGCACAGCAAGGGCTTAAAGAAGTCAAACAAAAGCTATTTAGCAAAGTCAAAAAGAAATAAATATCCTCTCCTGGAGCTGGAGAAATGAATTTATGTAGAAGAGGCACTTAAAAAAAATATTTTGACAGTGGGATGTGTTAAAATCCCCCGCTAACAATGCCGGTTATTAGGGACTTTCCTAAGCATTTCTAGACAGTATTCATATGCAAAACTTTCAAAAACTCTTCCTCTCTATCTTTTTTTTTTTGTTTCATTAAGAGAAAACCATCTGAATCAAGAGGTAAAGGGAAATTCACTTTTAAAAAATGTCTTTCTTCACTAACTCATAAAGCTCTAATAATAAGCCGTGCCTGTACTTGTGCCTGTCTGGCGCTTCTTCAACTTGATTCACTTTGAGTAGACACCAAGAAGGTCAACAGAGAGCTGCCACCTGTCCTTCTGGAGCAGCAGCTCCTCAGACAAAGCTGGAATAATGGTGGATCTGCAGTGGAAACGCTTGTGACCAAAGGCTGGGAACAGGCCTTGCCTTTCTGATGGAGAGACGCTCTGAACTCTGGAGAGCTGACATGGAGCTGAGCTGTGTGCACAGCCTCAGTGGGCATCCCCTTCTGTTGGTCCCAAGCTCCCTAAAACAGCTATATTTGTAAAATACAGGCTGTATCAAAAGCCCCTTTTGCAGTAAGCTGGCAGATGGATGGCAACTCAACAGTAATAAATTGATAAATAATAAAGAAATTGTAACGTTAAACAATGGTAACTTATTAAATAACAATAAAGCAATAGTAAGTTATTAAATAACAATAGCTACCAAAAGTCACAATAACCAATTTGTTTGACTCTCTAAAAATAATAACACTAAAATTTTTCTCCCTGTGTTTTTTAATTCTCAGCAGTAATTATTCAGAATATGCCACTTGGTATTCCCTTATTATCTGTCTACTACCATCTCTTGCTGTTCTGCACTTCTGTTTTGTCATTGTTTGAGGGCAGCATTTGCTCAAGATGACCTTAGTTCCTAAATGACTAATAGAAAACTCTCTTTTATCGTCAGAAGAGTAGTATAAGTTGAAAATTAAGAAATTTTATCCAAAAAAGACTTGAGATGGTGGAATCCTAACTTAGTGTAATAAGAACATTAGCAGCCAGAAGAGGAAGAGTGTGGATTCTGTAGTTACGCAAAATTGTATTATTAAGTTTAAATATTTGTGGAGAAAATTGTCTTTTGATAAATACCAACAAAGAGAACCTGAGGATTCGCATTTCATCTGAAGTTTCAAATAGAAATAACTGCTAATTCTGTTGTTCTTAGAAGATTTCTTTCTCCTCTATTCTGTTCCGATGAGGTCTTTCATATCGTGAGTTACAACAAAAACCAAATGATCTTTTTTGGACTGGCTTCTTCTTAATAACTACCAGCATGATGCTAAATTTAAACAAACAAGGGAAATTAAACTTTCATTCTGAACAGGTGAAAATTTTCTGTGAATGCTGATGACATTTCCTTGGAGAAAACCTTCCTATTACCACCCGGCATGTGCTCTTTCTGCTCCAGAGACATCTGTTGTGATAATATCTTACTAGATCACGGGGAAAAACAAAGAGGCATTTTTGCAAAAACAGTTTATACATTACAGCATGCAGAATTTAAACCCTTTAGCCAAATTTTAAAACAGCTTGAACTATTTGGGGTATGTTAAGATGCATGAAACAGTGGCTGGGGAAATGCAAGATTTGATTCTGTAAGTTGCAAGATCATGAAGAAACTTTAAAATAAATATTATGACACTAAAATATATGTGCTTTTAAAAAGAACACCAAACAACTCTCAGTTTTAGCATCTGAAATTTGCTGCTTTCTCTGAGACAAATAAAAGAAATCTAGACTAGAGATTCATTCTCTTACTCTTCTTTTCTTCCACTTTTTTTAATTTTTCAAATTTTAGCTGATTTTCCCGTGGGCAGTTCCATCACATAGTGGATCTCTCCCAATCAAACTAATAGTGGCATCTTGCTTTTCATGTGTCAAAGGTCTCTATGTCCTGTGCACACCTATCCATAATACTGGATGTGCACTGCTTGCACAACTGACTCTGTTTTCAGTGGTTAAAGTAGAGGATTAGGTATTAGTGACTGTTGGTCTCTACTTGTAGAAGGATGTGCTATGCAACCTTTAGAAAGTCAGTCAGGGGTTTACCTGGTTATCTCCTTGTTTTCAAGGTGACATTAAAAAAGGACTTGAG